TATAAATTTTGACTGAAGGTATTACAGAATTAAAGCCCCTGCTGATGAATCGTGCTAAAGTTTAATGTGTGCCTAGATTAAGTATAAAATGATTTGATGCTTAAATAAGGAAGCATCATTAAAGATCTAAAACTATATCAGTTTTTAACACTTAATTACTTCATTACCACATACTGCTGTATATACACATATGCATCAAGATTAATTGTGAATTGTCTTATTGGGACTCTTTTCCATTATCTATTATTTTTCAAACTTATACAAATATTAAGATTTTTGCTAGTGTTTACCAGTTATAAGAAAATACAGATAAAATATTTTAAGACATGTATCTAACAAGTTTAATATATTATATTTTGAAACGTTTTCCATAGAATTCAGCGAGGAACAATAAATTATGACAATACGATTTTAGACGGGAATGCTCTTCCTATTAGAAGTCTTAATCTTAGAATATAGTCCAAAACTACAATATTTTAGTAATAATTTAGTCTAAATTGGAACTGTATCACACACCTGTTTAAAATTTATATTAATAATATATAGATTGAAAAGTAGTGCAGTTAATTTCCGAAGAAGACGAATGAAAGGTACTTATGGTATCTGTCTACAGCGTATTTAGAATAATAAAGTTCACTCACAATTTTAAAAGCCTGTTTTTAAATCCATTGCTTTTATGAAATCTACAAAACTAAAACACAGTAAATAAGTATGTCTTATTACCTTATATTAAATTAAGAAAAGTAATTAGAGAACTTTAATAATAAAAACTTAATAATAATTATGGTAAAATTATAAATAAATAAATAAATAGTGAACTAGTGACTGTATAATATATCTACAATTATAATAATGATGACAGGAAATAAATATTAGTTTTACGGACCGACGCTGGAACTCTTTCTTTTTAAAATTCTTGTTTGGGTAGGAAGTTAATAGGTGTTATTCTACACTCAAGTGCGGCAAAAAAGTAGTCCCCAACTAAACAATAATCTTAATATAATGATAATAAAAATTTTGACTTAATCTCATCTAACTTAAGTTGGAATAAAATTGATTTTAATTTTTCTTGATGGAAAATCAATTCCTATAAACAACAGGGAATGCAAATATTAAAAATTCATGATATTTTCCCTTATCGCAAATGTCGTTGGATTAGTGTGATTTTTTAGTAGATAGTGTAAGTTTTTCTTACTTCTTATATATCGTTGGGTACTGTTTATATATATATTGAATTAGATATTGCCTTATATTCATTGTTGCTTTAGAATGGGAACGCTGGCAATAGCACGAGCGTTCTAGGTTGGAGTTGTTTTATTATGTCTATTCTTAGTGTTGAGACGCTGAGTCCCAATTATAAGAAGAATTGTGTTGTGAGCAAATATAATATTCCAAAAATAAACAATTAAAAATGTTGGTGACATCTCTAGAGTAGTAGTAGGAGTAGGAATAGATTCTAGCTCTCAACGGAACGGAGTACTGAGACCATGATTGAGCTTTTGTGCTGCAACAGACCCTAACCGAACATAAGACATTCCGCCTCCCAAATAAAGGCTGGAATGTCGGCCATTGAGGACCTAGAGTAGTAGTAACTTACCTGTAATAATCTTTTTACAGCAACGATATGAATTTATAAGTACGAGTACGAGTATGTGGTGTGCTAGGTGATTACAAATATTTGATAGTCGACATATTTATATCAAAATAGCCTCTTGTGGTATGTGTGTTGATTTCCTGATTAAGAATAATCCTTCTTGTGTTATTATACGAGAAATATTGAAAACATGTGAGATGTGCATCTTTTAGGTGAAAGTGCCATAATAGAGTGATTTTATTTTCATTTAGAGCTGGAAAAGATGGTGAGCTGTGACTTGTCAATGTTATAACTCATTTAAGCAAGAATACAAATAATTTTGAAATCGATTTCATTTCATATTTATTTGAATATTTATTTCGCATCACGTGTATCTTTACATATATTCTTGTTCACAATTTCTTACTGTAATATAAATTTTTATTTAATTCACTTACATGTACATAAAATTATCATTATATTTCTCATTTACTCTTAAAGCATTTAAAAATTGTTTTACATTCTTTTATATATATAATTTTTTTTTTTTTTTGTATAAATAATATTTAAAAAATTTTATATCTTTTTTAGTTTTTTTTTTAAATGTGTGTGTATTTGATTTTTATCAATTTAATTTATTTACTTAAATCTATTTCAATTTACTTTACTTAATTTAATAAAAAATAGTTTTATTTTTTTATATGTGTTTATTTTGTTTGAGTGCATTACAATCCATTGTTTAACATATATATTTATTCAATAATTATTCTTGTATATATGTATATTAAGTTTAAATATTTTGCTAGTTGTTTAGTTTCTTGAATTTATGTTAATGCAGTCAACGTTTGCATGTCAATTTTTGAAATTTTTATCTCAAACATTTTCACAAGAATAAAAACAAAATTTATTTTAAATATATATTTTCTTTATCTAAAAATGACATTTTTCTATACAAATTGGTAGGTTTTAATTTTCAACATACAAAAGTTTTTCTTAACAAATACTTTTTGATTACATTTCGGTTATTAGTTTTTTTTTTGTTCTCATGTGTGGATTTTTTGATATTACAAATAACGTCAAGATTTTTGAAGATGTAGATAACCTGGTCACTACTTTAATACTTTATTTTTTTCCACTCAGTGGCACAGATAACAATTTTAAATTGAAATATATTGCATGTGTTTAAGTCCTACATTAAATTGGGAATATTTAACAGCGATTTCAAAAAAATCTATCAAAACAAAACAAAACAAAATCTATCGTTGTTGTAATCTAAGTAAAAAAAATAATATTTATAATGTTTATTGAAAAATATTTCTCAATGTGAATTATGTAGATGTTTCCGAAAACCAACGAAACGCAGGATTAAAATGATAAAATAAATCCGCATAGATTGTATTCCAACAAAAGCATCAGTACAGCCTAAACAAAAGTCAACAGTATAGAAAATGTGTCAAAAATATTATTAAAAATACATGCAAAATAGGTTTAAGACAGAAAAATAAAGAAAGTTTTGGGAGCCACTCTTTATTTATACGATCAAGTGCTATTTATCTCTCACCATAGGGGCTCAAAGAACAAGTACATACTTGTTCTAATCTCTGTCTTAATCTGTTGTATTTTGCTGAAGTGCTCGAATAACACATTTTTATACTACTTCATTTCTGCACTCTTTTAAGGTTGGTTATAGGATGGGATAAAATAAAAATTGTAAGTGAGGGACTCCCCAAATCACCTATCCTTAATAACAAGAATCTTTATTTTAGTCATAGTAAATTGATTACTAATAATATATGTATGAGCCTATAATTCAGTAAATATATAACATTTTCATTTTAATTTTGAAAAATGAAAAAAGCCTCGCAAATTTGTAATTGTGGATGTCCATGAGTGATATAGCATAGTTTAACAAATATATTGATCTCAAATGAACTATGAAAACTGAAATAACTTTCGTTAATGGTTAGTATAACATGGCCAATACTTTTTCATAAATTACTTAATGTAAACTCAAGTTGTGCCGAAATTCCCACAAAAATTATTATTTAACAAGATTTTCTTTGAAGTCAACAATTTAATAAGAACTATCTATTCTAAATGCAAAGGCTTGATGTTATCTTTATCTAAAAAAGTATGATTTCAAATTATTAAAGGCAATATATAATAAAATAATTTAGCAGTTCTCCTAAGCATGACGTTATTTGTTATACAGAGATACTTAAATCATACTATTCTTCTTATTGAATTGTTTTAAGCATTTTAAATATTTTAACACACCTTTACCAATGAGATTCACAAATTTACAAATACAAATATTTGTTTATCATTTTCCATTAAATAATTATAGATATTTTATTTCCGTGATTAATATAAAACCACGTTTATTTAACTTATCATCATTTAGATATCTTTTTTTTTTATTTTTTTAAATACTAATAATTTGATATTTTGTTGGTCTATTTGCTAATTAATTTTAATTGATGTTTACTTTTTATTATACAAAATTTACATTAGTTAAAAATTTGAAAAATATTTTTTTTCCATAAATAAGTAAAAATAATTTTAATTTTTAATCTGAAAACTTTTTAGCATATAATTTTTAAATATTTTATGCCACAAATTTTTTGTTTATAATTTCTGCAAACTGTAATTAAGTTGCTGTTATTTACATTTAATTTACAACATTGATAAAAAAATTTCTATAATTAAATTTCTTAGTATTTTTTTGTACAATAAAAATTGTTTAATATGTTTTCGCTAACTACTTTTATTAACTTTTTACAATTTTTTACAGTGGCGTAATGAATTCAACTATAGAAAAACGTACATAAAACAAAGTAAACAATTGCAAAATTAATTTATTAAAACAAAAGTGCTTAATAAAGCAATAAACAATAAAATAAAAAATGATTTCCATATTTTGTTTGTTTTACTTTAAAATAATAGGTACGAGGTACATAAAACGTCCTTTTTAACAATAACCTAAAATTATTTACTAAATATTTAATAACTGAACTCTATTCTGTTTACATAATAAAATCGGTATATATATATATATTTAATTGATAGTAAACATGTGCAGATTATAAAAAAGAAAATCTATTTTTCTTTATATTTCAGGATAGTTTGAAAAAAGAAATAAAATTGTTTAACGTAAAACTTAAGATATTAAACAATAAAATATAGGATAACAATAAGTTTAAAATATATTAACAATAAAATATATAGGAAAAATTAACACTCATAGTTTATAATAAAAGTTCGTAAACATAAGCAATACGCATTTACATATAAAAATACAAAAAGTTTGAGCTTTAATACCGAAATTTCTTGTGTTTTAAATTCAAGACCTTTTCAAGAAAAAAAAAAACTATATGGATCAATGAAATAATTTAGAATTTACTTTTTAGTTAATCGATAAATTACTTCATTGCGTTTTTACAGAAATTTACAAATCGCGTTTATTTTCGGATACTACAAGTGACTGCCGTTACTTAATTCAACTGTGTTTTGCATTCGTTTTTGTTGTCGTTGAAGACTTCAGTGTCTTGCGTTTACCACCGCGAACTATTGGTTCCAACTCATCAGCCTCCAGCACGCAAGTTTCCTGAATATTCTTCGCTCTCTGCTGTCCTGCACTGTGGGATTTCGTACTTTTTTTACTGAAACACTTGATTTCATCAAGCTGATTCTCATCTTCATATTCGTTATCAACTGCATTGTGCATATTTAATTCATCATCATTGTAATTGGCATCGCCATCACCATCGCCATCACCGTCGCCATAGTCATCACCATTGTCATCGTCGTCATCGTCGTCATCCTCATTGTTTGCTTCGGAATCTACTTTAATCAATGTCGATGAGGACGATTTGCGTGAGTTTCTTTTTGACCGGTTGGGTATTTTATTATAACGGGTTGTGGAACGCACGGAACGATAACTGGTGCGCTGTAATAAGGACATAAAATTTAATGTTAGAGTTGAAGTTAAAAAAAATAAAGTAACTATTAACAAAAAGAAAAGATAATGTAGTACATTTTTTCTTCACTACTCACTGCACTACGAGTGTAGTAAACGCTCGCCTTGTTTTCCGGATAGTTCTACTATCCGAAATGTTATAATTCGTATATATTTTTTTTGTTCATAATGATGTGTAAAATAATACTTTTTCTACTTAAATATTTTATATAAATTGTTATTACGAACAATATTCTAAACGTTGTTTTAAATTACTACTGGGTTTAGGTTGTTAATTTAACACATAAAAATTAAAAATGTTTTTTTTAAGTAAAAAAAATAAAATAAGCCAAGTAATAATTTAAAAAAACGTATTAAATATTTTATACATAATAAAAAATATTTAATAATTAATAATTGCTTTATTATACTCGTATAGTTATTTAAAACGTTAAACAAAAACAACAATTTTGTTTAATTGTTCTCAAATAGGGATGTGATTAAAAAGGGTCGAGAGATTTGCTGTGTCCTTAGGGGGACTCCCCCAAATTTGCATCATTTCATTAAGTTTTTAATATTTTTAATACCCAGTTATATAAAAAAGAACAATACGAATTTGGTGATCCATCGTTTTTAGTTTAATTTTGTTTATTACCATCGAACATGGAAAAAACGAATAAAAACTATTTCTGAAATTAAACTTAAGGACTAATTAATGCATGACAAAATTAGGATCTAATTTCTCTACGTTGAAATTTCTATACAGTAATCTTCATGAGGGATTACTGTATAATTATTATTTTTCATTTATTTTGCTGACAGTGTTTTTCTCACATTGATTATGATAGGGTTTGTTTGAACTCGAAGCGAAGTCTAGACATGTCTAAGTTATTGAAGGAATGTATATAATGTATATAAATTATGTACTTAGAAAGCATATATTTATATACTATTATAGTATATTTTCTATAAAAAAATAAACAACAAATGTCAGAAATCTGCTACAACTGTCATAATAAAGGTCAGAGTAATATATATTCTGTATGGAAAATGCTTTCTACAGAAGACTGAACTATTAATCTATTGTAGAGAATAAACAACCATAAGCAAACAAAGTTTTAAAATAGACTATCATGCTAACAAAATTAACATCTTTCAGTTAAAAGACTCACTATTAAAAAATAGTGTATTTAATACATAAAATTAGACTACACTAGACAGCTTTATGCATTCTTTTGAATTCAAATAAACTGATTTGAAATTAGTCTCTTGAGTTTCTTATTTTTCATCAGAGCATTTCAATTTTCATGAAAACAAGTGTGAAACTAATTTGGCTTAGTGCTTTCTTCATTATGTAAATAGTCTACCTATATAAAATACATTACATAAAAATTAACAATATGCTGGTTTTAGTTCATATGTTGAATGTACTCTCAGATAATATACTTGTTCCAACGAAATTATACAAGCAATTAAAATAGGAGGAGTATGAACTGTCAAATTCCCTTTTCCAGTATACCACAAGAGGAAGCCTAATACTATAAGCCACTATTAAGGAAGAAATAATGCTGGTGTGTTAGGTAATATTGTTGTAGCTATTCGATAAAGGTGATGAGAAAAATATCACCCATTTACTCCATCACTATCCATTAGTTAGATACACATATATCTACTGCTACTGCAGTTATTCGCTGAAGCAGTAGAACAAACAAGATTTTATAAGTAATTGAGAAGCTATTATATGAGTATTAGTCCAGAAACAATGCTGGACTAAGACCACAACAGCAGTATTACTGTGACACCAATACAATCATTTCATTAATTTATTTATAGTATTTGCGCAATAAAGCAGGTGCATTCAGCAGATAATTGTGGAGTAGTTAGTTAGTTAGGCTTATAAAACATCAACTGATGAAAATACAATATTTTCTAATGCTCTAACAAAAAATTAAGTGTCAATTATCATAGTCGAAATTAGTTAGGCCTAATGGCCCATTGTCCTAGATAACAGTGGCCTGTAAGTAAACGTACCAAAATACCGACGTCTCTACGGGGCATCTCAATGAGAATTTTAGATTTTCTTTTATCGGAAAGTGGCGAGATTGCATACAAATACCGCTGAGTCTTTCCATCTTATGTTAGAGATTTCTGTACAGAAAGATTTCAGTAATAATTTACAAGATTTACAGAGTTCAGCTCTATGCTGGACCCTATTAAGTACAGAACAGTACGCAGATTATTGTATATTTATGACTTAATATATTATTAACGCAAACAATATAACCTATAATTTTACTGATGTCAAGTAAGCATATAATTATTTTTAGTTTGCAATAAAAACATTTATTTAATATGTTTTGGTAAAGTTATAAGCGTGTTTATATATTAAATTATTTAATATAAAGTAATAATAATTATTTATCTTCAGTTAATTAATGTGTTATATTAAGTTTGCTTGGATATGTTATTTTTGTAGAAATAAGATATTAAATAAATATATAGTCATTACATATATTCATATCAAAATAAACATCTTTCCATTTTAATGCCATTTGAAGTAAAACTTTATTCGTCCTTTATTTTGTTTATTCCAATAACAAGAAAAATAAATAAAATTCTCTGCTTAATTTCGTTGCGTTTGTTATTAAAAATATTTCTTTTGAGTCTAACAGCTGCGCAACCAGAATGATTTGGTTATTTTATGCAAATTTTTGGTCAGAAAAAATAACACAAAATAAAGAGAATAATACTAAAATAATAATAATATTTAATGAAAATAAATACGAGTTACCAATTATGGTTAAAAACCCCAACAAAAACACAGACCGAAGGTAGAAAGCAAATAGAAAGTTTGCTTTTTTTAGAATGAAAATAAAATTCAGAAAAGGTAGCCACAAAATTATTACAAAAATTATTTTGTAAATAAACAAAAAAACCACAATTTTTTGGTAAGAAGAAAAAATTCAAAATACATAAAAGCAGAAGCACAAAAAATGGCAGGACATTTATAATGAAAACCATAAATAGCGCATTTGAAAGGAAATAAAATATGCGAAGGTAGCGTAAACAAATCTAAACGGAAAGGACGTGTCAGTTTACAGCTAACGGCTTGCAAATTGTATATTCTGCCAGCAGTAGATAAAAGCGATTGCCGACATTTATAAGCCAAATTTTTGAGCGCCTCATCGAGGACGATAGCCTCAGTCGTTTTGGAAACGGAGCATATTTGAATTTGCAACAAATTCGAAAAATTATAATTTCCAAAAGCGTGATACAGGGTATAGCAGATCTATTCCATAGATGATTATAATATGTATATATCTGACGAGATTGATAAATTTAAGACAGTGTGATTAAAAAGATGTCAGAGTAAGAATATTCATTATATATGCTATATAATGTGAACTCCCAATACAACTGTATTGGATTTCTAAAAAAAATAGAATTAATGTAATTCACTTCACTTATGACACTTCACTGGCGTGTATAAATATATATATCGCTTATAGTTTTTATCTTAATTGATATAACTTGTCTAAATTTTCCGTTAGGTTCAGAAGGCGCGTGCTGACAGTTGTCAGTACGTTGTCAGTTGTCAGTCCACTCGGAGGTATATATTGCCTATTGTGATGCTATCAAAAAAAAAACAAAAATAGTTTCCGTTACTTCAGCTATTTGTTCCTCAATTTCAGTGCTTTTAGGTGGCATTTTTTCTAATGAGTGTCCCGCAAATGTCTACATATCATTTTATCACATTTTATATCCATAAGTAATACTAAATGATCTTTTACAGATTATATTATATATACAAAAATATATTACAAGTCAAAACAAAAAAAAATACATATATACCTATATCGATTTGAATTGAGGGACAGACCGTTGAATTGACGAAAAATTTAGACAAGATATATGATTTAAAATAAAAGTGCTAACTTACAGCACTAAAACGAGGAAGTATAATAATACAAAAATTGCTGAAGAATATCTTCACATAAAAACATTTAATGATAAAAAATGCTTAAAAAATTCAAATTATATAAAAAATACAATGTATGACAAAATTATATCTTCTAATGATTTTTTAGCACAGTTAGTTGTATGAACAAACAGATAACTATCAAATATTTGTTTAAATAATGCAATTTTGTGATAGTTAAACAATAAATAATAATTAACTAAGAGTCACCAGGAATTATATTTAAATTTGTACATTTGTATTTGTATCACAATAATTTTAATCATAAAAACAGAAAAGATCCTACAAATGTTTTGATTGTAATTCTCTCCCATTCAAGTTCAAAATATAGGTTTTGGAAATAAATTGGTAGCGCTTAAGGTGTGGTATCGCTATCTCTTAGGTAGGGAAAGTGAATAGGGTCGCGATTCTAAAAAGACTTGATAAACACGGAGAGCAGTGTTAGAACATAGAACGGCAAAACAGTATCATTTTTAATAAGAATTGTTGCAGCTAATAGCCTAAAATAAAATTCCGTCATGGTTATGAACAGAAAGAAAGTAAAATAAGATTTTTTGAAAAATTGAATTAGAATAATAAATATAAAAATTATATAAATCAATTTTTAATTTATATGATTACTACTTGAAGAACCATAAAAATGTCTATGATACTTCCTGCTGGGAACGCGCTGGTTATATCAATTAAAATGACCAAATCACATATGGAATGGTTTAGAACCCACACCAATGATTAAGGTTAACTATTTGACAGATCCGGAAATTTGCTTAGCTGGTTGAAGAAAATGAAACCGAATTTAATTTGAAGTATTGTCTCTAAATGCAATATAATAAAATTACTAGATTGCTTAATTCAATATATCATACAAAGAATAAAAATATATATATTGTATAATTTATATAATTTATATATTGTATAGTGTATAATTTTTCAGTATAGAAAACTTTTTAAATTTCTCTTTTTCTTACTTAAAAAAAACTTGTCCTTTTATAAGGACAAATAAATTTATTTG